TCTGAATGAAGGACTCATTTTTTTGCTGAAACTTTTTTTTCATTCAGCCCATGTTTGGGTTTATTATCTTTCCCCTAGTCAGCAAGTATTTCTTTTAATTTATTTACCTTTTAGGTTATATATCTTTTTATAGGTTGATATGTAATCATTATATATAGCTATGGAGTATACTGTGATGATTTGATTTATATATGCACCAAGTGCCAGCCAACTCAGAGAACTTCTTCTATTTTCTATCTTCCTGTGTCTTATGGTTTAGGTGAATTCTGAAAGTACCACATAGCTCAAATTTCAAAACTTCAATCCAAAGCACATTTTCTTTTTTATTTATTTATTTTTTGTTTGTTTGTCTGTTTTGTTTTTCGAGGCAGGGTTTCTTTGTGTAGCTTTGAAGCCTATCCTGGCACTCGCTCTGGAGGCAAGGCTGGCTTCGAACTCACAGAGATCCGCCTCTCTCTGCCTCCCGAGTGCTGGGATTAAAGGTGTGCACCACCAACGCCCGGCCAAATAGTTTTGGGTTTGTTTGTTTGTTTGTTTGTTTGTTTCCCTGAGACAGGATTTCTCTGTGCATTTTTGTAGACCAGGCTGGCCTTGAACTCACAGAGATCCGCCTGCCTCTGCCTCCCCAGTGCTAGGATTAAAGGCGTGCACCACCAACTCCCACCCCAAAGCACATTTTCTTAAATGACAGATTTATTACATTTACAGTTATTATAATTGCCAGCATGTTTTATTCATTCCTTCAATCTTAGTTTGTGTTTTCAAGTTACTCTGGGTTCCCCCCTCTGCCATTTTTTTTAACTGAAGAGGGGATTTTTGTTTCTTCTCTCTTACTGTATTCTATATGATTTACTAATTCTGTCAATTAGGATGAAATGATCATTTCTTTTATTGACTGTTTACAAATTATTAACTTTTGAACTTAATAGCCCGAAGTTAAGCAATACCTGTTACCCTCCTTTTAAATGACAAAAGATCTAGGAGCTTAATTCAGTACTTCTTGTCTTCCATGGAACTTCTCAGTATTCATGCCCTATCTCCTCCAATGGCCACATCTTCAGACTTTTATAAAACTAGAAGGCGCTAGCTTCAGCACTCAGGAGCAGAGGCAGGTGGAACTCTGTGAGTTTAAAGCCAGCCTAAAGTCTGGCCTATGTCAAGTGTTCTGGGTCAGCCAGAGATCCACAGTAAGACTCTGTCTAAAAAAAAAAAAAATTTAAATTATAAATGTTTAGCTGATGGCTCAGGCTTATTACTAGCTAGCTCTTACTATAAATTAACCCATTTCTATTAGTCTGTGTATCACCACATGGCCAGTGGCTTACCAGTAATGCTCTGGCATCTCACTCCTCCAGTGGCTGCTGGTGTCTACCTCAACCCTGCCTTCTTTCTCCCTGTGTTCAGTTTGGCTTTCCCACCTAGGTATACTCTGCCTTGCCATTGGCCATTGGCCAAAGCAGCTTTTTTTATGGATGGATGATCTTTTATTATATGATACTACTCAACTATAAAAAAGAGCAAAGTCTTGATCTGTAACACCATGGGTACATCTCATAGATGTACTCTTTTTTATTGGGGGGGTAGGAGGAAGGGTGGGAGGGATAGCTGAGGTGGATAACTGAGGTTGGAATGTAAAATGAAATTTAAAAAATTTTAAAAATGGCCAAAGCAGCTTTGTCCATCAACCAATAAAAGCAACACAGACTCGCAGCATACATGAGGACATCTCATCCCACATCATGTCCCCTTTTATGTCTAATTTAAAAGGAATGTTTTAATGATAACACTATATAATTGCATATAAAAACAGATATTAAGCAATAATTACAGTTATAACAATATTTAGTCCATGCCAAATATAAATAAAATTTTTAATAATTGAAAGAGACTAGAATGCTGGTCTAGACTTGTGCATTTACTCACCAGTTTTCTGCCTAGACAGCCTTCATGTTTTATTCTTTCCTCTTCCTCCTCCTCCCTTTCTTCCCCTGAACCTCTTCCTAAGCAGTTTTTTTTTTCAGTAAAACATCAAAGGTCTATCAGTGATGCACCATCTCTGATAATGCTTTTGTTTCACTTTTAATACTGAACCATCATCTCATCAAATACAGAACTTAGTGTCGCCAATTATTTTCTCTAATCGTTGTATCAAAGTCCTGAGGAGGGATGCGCATGCCCTCAGTTTGAGCAATTTGCCCTAAAAAGAATTGAACTGCATGATTGTCCACAGAAGCCAGTCTGTGGGCCACAGAAGACACAGGACAGTGGTTCTTGGCCACATCATAGCATGAGTCCTCTTGCTGGGTAGATACAAGTTCACAGTCTGTCCTTCCCATCCACACTGAGAGTCACACACAAGCACATTGCATCTCATGTTCTGGTTCCGACTCCTGAATTCTGACTGAGCCTTGTCTGTGGAGAGCAGGTTGGAGACAAGAGCACACATGTGTCAGCATTGTAAGGCTTCCCCTTTCCAGTCCCACACAGCCGCCTTGCTCTGCTTTCCCACTGGATCATTCCTGTTGGTGTACAAACATGTATTTCCTGATCAGAAAAATGTCATGAAATCTGAAAGAAGAACCAGTGTGGATGGTACAAGGTGAGGATGAATAAACTGGAATGTGGTCAAGGTTTTGAGTAGCAAGACCAAATCACAAAAGGTCTTGGGGAGACTTTGAAGGGAACCAGGCTGTAGCCTAACCAGACCCCCCTTGTGCATTTGTATTGAGATGTCCCAGATTCTTTACATAACCTATTATCTCTTACAGAACAACCTTTTTTTTCCAAGCCATTTTTGTTCAGTGGCAACAGTTTTTTCTTTTATTTTTAACAGATCAATTAGCATCCCCCTTTCTCTTACCTCAGTTTAGAGGTAAGTCAATACCATAAGCAGATAGGCATCCTTATGTCTGACAAAGGCTAAGTAAGAAGGCAAGCTTTCTCTGAGAGTCAAGGTACGTTTGCTAGGACCCTCTGCCTGGTATAGAGTGTGTAATAGCCTGCTTGGGAAGCTTGGTCATTTGTAACAGTTCTACCTGCCTAGGCCACTATTTTCCCCTAGACCTGGTGAAGAAAGGATATAAAAGGAACCAAGTTTACCCTCAATTCCTCCTTCCTCCCAGCATTTCTCAGTTTCAAAGTGTGGATCAAATGCAACTTCATCCCTGTCTCTTGGATGACTTGGGAAAGAACCCAATACTTCTGAGTTTTAGAATTCATCTTCCCAAAGGAAATTTCAGTGGTGGGGAGCAAGTGTCCCCATTGAGGCTTCCATGAGCTGAGCTGTTAAGACAGGCTCCCCCGAGGCCCTGTACCAGATGGTTGTGATAGTGACAAGTCATGGCTTCATGTAAGCTGAGAATCCTGAACACAAAGTTCCAATCCTCAGAGCACACGAGATCAGACCAGACTCCTTTCATCCTTGAGAGTAAAACCTTCCAGTTGTTTCTTCTTCAAACCTTAGCTGATGTGCAGATGTCTGCAGCATATCTGTGTCAGCAGTGTGAATTCTAGTGTCATAGCAGTTGAGGAGGTCAACAGTCATGAAATCTAATCTTATCCTGTGTGTGTGTGTGTGTGTGTGTGTGTGTGTGTGTGTGTGTGTGTGTGTGTATGCCAGAAGACAACCTCAGATGTCATCATTCAGGCACTGTTCATCTCATTTGTTGAGACAGGGTCTCTCTCTGGAACCTGTAACTCACCAAGTCAGCTCACTGCCCAATGAACCCTAGGGATCTATCTATCTGTCTCTGCCTCTCCAGTACCTGAATTACAAGTGGTCACCACCATTCCAACTTTTTTCTGTATGGGTTTTGGAAACTAAACTCAGGTTCTTGTGCTTGTATGGTAAGCACTTTCTTGACTGAGATATCTTCCAAATCCTCATTCCTTATTTTGTTGAGAACCATGTGATCCAACAAGATTAAGTGACTTTCCCAACAACAGATTGTGTTCATCTCACATGACCAAACTATACCATATTGATCATCAGAGCAGAGAAACAATGTACAGAAAAACCATGATGTCTTTCTAAACACAAACATATGCAGACTTTATAAAATAAAGGTCATCCTTTGATTGATTGACCAATAAATATTTTCATTTTATCCTTTCTTTTTCCTTAGTGTGGAATAACCCAGAATTTATTTTGCATTCAGTCTGTGGTTTGACTATTATGGTCCTAATAAATGTCTGCTATTTAATGTTCTCTTTTCTTAATTAACAAAGTGCCAAGTAGAAAGAGATAAGTTATGCACTTTAATTATAGCAACCCCAGGCTACTTGGAGAATTCTTATCAGTAGCATAGCATGTACATCCTACACGCAATGAAAAACAAAATTGGTGGGAGCTTCATGAGTATAAGATCGAGGAAACAATTCCATCTCCTGCCACTGTCAGGAGACAACAGTTAGTTAGATTCCATCCCAGGTTTCTTGGGGTCTGGTTTATTTGTGTTTATTTCTTCTCAGTTAGCATAAGCTGGTGAGTGATCTGGAACCTGTGAGAGACAGGGCATTTGGAACACTACAGAGGGGCTGGTGTTCAGTGGCAGGAGCTCTGAACTGATAACTTCTCATTTCTGGAACCTTCCATGGGCTCTCCAAGCCTCAATTTATTGCTTAGTAAAGGATATTTTGAGGTCTAGGTAGAAGGCAAGGGCAATCAGAAGGGAGTGAGAAGATAAATAAGAACAAAGTATAATAGCATACATGTAAGAACACGGTATGTTTTATAAAGTAATTTGAAAGTTTAATAATTAAAGAAGAGAGGGCTGGAGAGATGGCTCAGCAGTTAAGGGCACTCACTGCTCTTCCAGAAGACTCTGGTTCAAGTCCCAGCACCCACATGGCAGCTCACACCTGTCTGTAACTCAGGGAATCTGACACCCACACATCAATGCACATAAAATAAAATTATTAAAAAATGATTGAAAAAGAAAGGCAGTTGGGACCAAGAAGGCATAAGGTGATGACAGGTCATGTGCTTTTTCTCTGTGCAGGCCCTGAGGAGGCAGGAAGTGGCCGCTATGGACCTCAGTATATCACCAGTATGGGAGTGAGTGAGGATGATGATGGATCTGAAGACGAGCTGGATCTGGATGTGTCCTTTGAGGAGGCACCATCACCTCTGTTGTCACCTCCGATGTG